CACGACGAAATTTTCGTATAGCTAAAAGACTCTAAAAAAGGTATAAATTGAAAACCTCATATCAACAATCTGAAAAGAAAACTGGAAATTTATAAGCTCAGGATTTTTTTAAAAAAAAAAACGTTGTTTTAATTTTCCTCACGATAGATGTAACATATCTTTAATATACAATACTGCTATATTTATAATTTTTTTATTCACATTGGCATTTGTACTTAAAACTTTTTTTTTGACAGAAGTGTGATTTTAATCAAGCTAGTTCCATCTTTTCCTTTTTTCTCTTTTTTTATGGTCTTAGTAATTTTACATTTGCATAACACACTTTGATATTCACGGTAGCCCTATATCATTTTTTCAAACCATGTAATTTAATCAATCAAAGATGAAATAATGTCGTTTTTCCCGGTATGATATGCAAGTCTGGTAGGAGATACGGTTTTTCGGACCGGTCGTTGATATCTGGTATTGTGACGTCAAATTTCAAATAATCCTCATTTTGCCAATCATATAAACCATTGTTGTTTGTTGATCAAAATGAAACAGTTTTGTTATCACTCTAACGATTGTCCTGGAAGAAAATAACAATATTCATTCACATAATTATGGATATGAACAACTTTATTTCGTATGGCTCAAACTGACGTGCAGACGAAGTGCAAAAGGAAGTGCAATAGGTGAGCAATGTTTCTTAATATTTTGCAACTAAGGTAGATTTAAAAATTCAATTGACATTATATTATTCACTTATAAAATTAAGGTTAATAACCGAATGATTCAATTTTTTTTGTCCATTGTTAATTACAGCTAAGTAACCTTACCATACGTAAGGTTAATGTAAAGCAAAACATTTTGTACTTTAAATAAAAGAATTGCTTTTCTGTTTTGAAAATGTATGAAATGATTATACAATTAAATTTCGAGTAAAGCTCTGTATATAGTGCTGAACATATTTATGTAAAGGGGGGGGGGGGATTTCTGAATTTAATATGCCACGTAAATTTTACATAAAAAATGCTTGATTGACTTTCCATAAGGCTTTGCATGAAAAAAAAATCTGGACTAGTAGCTAAACTAAATTTTACCGCAGTGTGGCTATGACCAAACTCTGTTGGTCTGAGCCTATAAAGTCGATATTTGCTGGATCAGAACAATGGCATGAATGAATCCTCTGGCTCTAATTTAAGCATCTCGTTGTCAATTGAAAAAGCCCTTATTTGATATTCTCTGCGGTTCAGTGATAGAAAATACTGAAGGCAACTTCATTGTTAAACATTGAGGAAGAATACACAAAACGATTCAGTGATCCTGTGCTGCTAATGCTACAAGTGGTACGCCATATTTTACGTGATCATCTAGATCTGTCGTACCATGCTGTTGCAATTGGTATCTGTTTTATAAGTGAAATATGGTGCTTTGTGCATTAAAACCTCATGTAATTGTAAACTGTCGCACACCTGCTTCCAGTCGTACATTTTTTTTTGCGATAAGCATCATTCTGATGCAGCATTTTTAGATAGCATAGATTTTTAAAAATATCAGAGTTACAAAATCGAGAACCCAAACTTTTCATAGACTTTTGTACCTGAATGATGTGGATCAGAAACCGACAAAAGAAAAGTGTTCAAAAGGCTAAATTTTAGCATTTTTGCAAAAATCAGGTTTTTTGTCTGTTACTTTTGTAGATGTCACCGGGTTCACAGGTGCGTGAAAGTCAGTCAATATATCGGGTCTCAGTAGCTCAGTGGTTAGAGCGCTGGCACGGTACGCCAGAGGCCCTGGGTTCGAGTCCCGGTTGAGACTTGATTTTTCACCACCTGTGACATTTGGCGCCCAACGTACACATACCCACTATTCCCTTGGAACATGCCTTACAGCATTTCCTTAACTCCTAGAATTCGAGGACGAATTTCTACAAAGAGGGGGAATATGTCACCGGGTTCACAGGTGCGTGAAAGTCAGTCAATATATCGGGTCTCAGTAGCTCAGTGGTTAGAGCGCTGGCACTGTACGCCAGAGGCCCTGGGTTCGAGTCCCGATTGAGACTTGATTTTTCACCACCTGTGACATAGAAGTGCTGATAAGTTAACAAAGGTATTGAAAAATAATACATTTTACGATCAACAGAAAAATGCATGACAATGCTATTTTTTATGATTCTATATATATATTATTACTATTGTGTGTTTATTTTTGTGACCTTCAAGATTGAAATGTTCTCAAACGGGTTCGTCGAGTTTCTTGGTCTTAATGGTCGAACGATGATTCTTGATTCCCCTGCGGATATCCCCCGTTTGTCTAAAATACTGTATGGAAAAAACCTTAGGACTGATGAGATATATGCACGTGTCTGTTCAACAGGACAAATTCCCTGGTATTTTGTACATTTAGCTGCGGCCTGTAACGGGGCTATTAAAGCTGGCAGTGTCAGGGAGTGCTTATAGTGAATATATATCAATCCGTGCACATCATATATCTCCCGTTAGGTCATTGGTAGCCCAATCTTGTTGTAAGTAACATATTCTTTAAGTTCCTCTGGCGTCTGTAGGCAGCCAATGGAGGTTCCCTCAAAAAACTCTGTCATTCTTTTGCTTGCGTGGAGAATTGGCAGGTTCTTTTTAAGAATACCACTGAAGTTCTTAATGACAAGATGGAGTGTTGTTACCAGAGGAACCCTGATGCTATTGTCTTTGTAATGTTAAAGCTTTTTATTGTTGTGCCGTGCCATACTCATATTTCAAAGAACATATTATATCGTATCAAAAAAATATCAAAAAATGTTATCTAAATATACATTGTCCATGATTATACATAAATTAGCGTTCCTTTGACCACAAATTATACCTCGGTTATCGCCTGTGGCTGTTTACATTTATATACAGTATTTATCATGACTAATCACTTAGTATACAGCCTGAGTTTTTGGATAACTTCAATAATTTGTTTTCAATGACCATTGATTAATTATGGTCTACTGTCTTTTAAACTATTACGAGTTCGCGAACTCTCTTTATATTCACAAAACCACAGTTCAGATCAGAATGAAATTTTGGCACACATATAGTCATACACATGTTCCATAAATAGCAGATTTTATATAAAGTTTTGCTCCGTGTTTGCAACGTCACAATGTGAAAATGACGTCAATATGTTGGTGACTTGTGACAAAAAATGGTTGACTTAGTCGTACTCGAGCAACAAACAGCTGTAAAGTTTAACTTAAATCTCTGAAATTCCTTATTAAGTTTATGAAGACTTAAGACGTACCAGAAGTTCAATCATTAATTGGATCGATTGTTTTAGAGAAGGCAGGGAGATGGTTAAAAATGATGTTTGTTCTGTTGCTCAGCGAAAGCAAGCCAGTAAAAGTATGTGTCCGTAATTGAGCAATTTGTTTTGAAAGATCGCTAAGTTACAAATTAGAAAAATAATTGAATATCTGAGCAATAATATAATTAATAAATCCCTAAAATATTGTTTAATTTAGACTTTAAACATATTAGATATGAAGAAAAAGAAGGCGCCCATACTTTTTCAACATTAGATAAACGACGCTCCCGAGACAGAGGACTAGGGTTGTGATAGTCACCATGCTAATTCTGGGAAGGTATCTCCTAATCCACCCATAATACTGCCGAGATTTGGCCATTTCTGACAGATGGTCTGTTCTTGTTATAAAAAATTACTTGCATAATAAGAAATATAAGACGAAAAAATCTCTTAGTTTCTGTGAACAGATCGCTACAAAGCATGTCAGGAGACCGCCTGGATCACGTGGATCACGTGATTCGCGCAGGGCAGAACAATGGCAGATGTGCATTAAAATCGACGAGGACTACTTTAAAAATTAATGAGCATTGAAACCTCATTTTATTTCTTTTAAGGAAGTAATTCAATTTGATCACCCCTCGTAAGTTCGGTAAGAATACGGTAGTAAAATCAGATATTAATTGAAACGCTGCTGCCCACTTCAAAAGTGAAAAAAAAAAATAGTATTGAAATTACGTATAACTTAAGATACAAAAATATCAAAAACCATGTGCTGACGGGAAAACAACCAATATATGCAATGATAAACGTCTAGCGAATCCGCAACGTCTGTTCGCTCAAAGATTTTTTCTTTTGCTGTCCTGCTTTTGCGCTGATAAAATATTCCTTCTAAACAGGAACTGTAAACCATTTGTAATTATTGTTAGAAATAACTTAATGTCTTTTGTGTTTATCTGAGAAAATAGTGTGATTATAACACCTATAAGGGATGTCTTATCAATTTTGGAAGGCTATTTTTCAAATAAATAAGACACACAAATTTGGAGGTCCACGATTTTATGAATTAGTGACTCTAAAATTTTACGGTTTCGCTTATTTTCGTCATTATAATTTCTTACAATAAACACAACCAGAAAACAATTACATGCAGCGTTTTTGTTCTTTTCCTTTCATTGCATTTATTTTCTGGTAATTCACATGTACATTTGAGGAGGAAAAATGTGAAAAAGTCTTTGCAGTTTCATGTTCTCTTTTTGTTATTTATATTCAATGCCAAGTCATAAACAGTAGAAGCTAATATCAAATAATACTTTTAAAACATTTCCTAAAATCACAAAAAATAACCATTTCACTCGCTCGAGAATTTAATGGTATCTCTGTCTGTAGAACAAGAACATATTAAAAATTCTCTATAATTTCACACGTATCTAAATTAAATTTTTATTATATTTATATCAAAAGTATAAAAATAGATAATATTTTTGATTTTACAACGAGCATACAGGCATACAGAAACATCTTGAATATATATCCGGAAAACAACAAACTTTCGAACGTATTTATTTATACAACTAAAGCAAAAATTGTTTCTTTAACATACAATCACACAATCAAGCCAGCTGTCAAGTAATTTTCAAACAGTATTTTCAAAATATACAGATTTCGTAATATATTTCTTTTCTTAAAAACAAATATTTCTTTTATTTTACAAAGTATATTGAAGATCTAGCTTGGGTATTTTCTAAATAAATACTTTTCAATGATATGTTTGTTTTTTTAAGCTGGAAGTTTATTGAATGATATGGTGGTATATATAATCTAGAAGATATAGAAATAAGGCTGTAAAGTACTACATTTGTACAACGTTTTAATATTTCAGACGTTAATCTAATAATTCAAAGAGAAAACTAAGGTGGTTTACCACTTAATTATTTAAAAAATTGCCCAGCAATGATTAAGTCTATAAAGAAATATATGGAGATAGCGATCGGTATTCAAACTCAAAATCCATTCAAACAATACAAATCAGGTGCAGAGCAAACACGGACCTCTAAAACATCAGGATGGGATCAGATCCATGGAGGAGTGAGCATCCCCTGCCGACCGGTCACACCCGCCATGAGCTCCTTGTCATGATTGGGAAGTAACGGAAAAATCCGTTGACAATTCAGTGTGTAAATAATGGTTTAACAACTGCTATGAAAAACATGTCAGCATTTGACTTAATGATAGACTGTACTTGCTGACAATGTCATTGTTTCGACAATAGAACTTACGAAATGATGACTTTAAACGAGACTCTTGACATTCTTGTTTTATCAACTTGTTTGTCAATAACTTACCTCGATTTAGAAATTGTTCATACGTAAAGCATACTCTTGTGTATCGAATCAATTGAGAGATATAAGCCCCATATGCAGGTGATAAGGATATATTGCTGCATAAGTAAGGGAAGTTGACGATTGATATGTTAAAGTCATCACGTTTATCATAAAAATTTGTTGTTAGATTACCATTAAAGTTTTATTTTTCTTTTAAAATATCCAAATATGCAACAAATGTATCAGACTCCGTGGTATCTTTTATTTCAAGCTCACTAGGATATATCGTATTGACATATTTCTAAACACTTTATTAGTTATACTTTCCTCTCAAATTTTCATTCAAGACGTTTATTTAGGGTTTTCTTATTACCTAAGATGCTATACTAATGATTCTAATGAAGGAGACACTACTATACATCAGCCAAAATTTGTGAGGTAAAGACCCATTTTCTATCTGTAATACATTAGTATCGAAGGATTTGATCGGTCTCTGCTCCTATTTTGTAATGTTTAATGGACATTTGAGCTTGAATACTGTTCGTTATCTCTAAACATTTCATATATTCTGACCAATCTACTACAATATGCCACATTATAGTTCATTGCACAAACATCAAATTCAAGTTTGCTCAATAAAGATAATTATAGTTCATAGATTTAAGATCCCCATTCCATTAATCAAGTCACTGTAATTGTTACAAAATTAGTATCCATCCTGGCTGATTAAACTTTTTTATACTTTCACTAATAAGCTTACTATTAAAAGTTAATTAATTATGATATGATTGCAATATAATTCCCTTCCTCATTAATATACTAGTAAAAGCATATGCATTCCAATTGCAAAAAATATTTATTCTAAATCTTACTGATTTACATACAGGTGAAAAAAGCATTTATTTAAAAAAAATGTATGCATTTGCTGATTCCTTTCCTGACCATTTACCACCATGAATTCAATATGCTTTGAATAAAATTTTCGTCACAAAACTGTAAATACGGCCTTATCACAGTCAAATTTAAAACATATTGTAAAATGTAGTTATTATACCTAACATGCTATTGCAAATATGAAATACATCTGAATTTATTGTATTTGATTGCTTTTCAATTGTTTTCCGCTTAATTTTAAATATTACCATCCAAAAATTGTTTTGAAATTCCAGTTCAAACATGATACGTTTAATAATGTAGGCATATTTTATATGTTTCTAACTTAACCGTTTGAAACTATTTTTCCAATCGACATCTTGTTTTCGGTATATGTCTGTAAGTGATTTTTTTTTCTTTTCTTGCCATCAAAGCGTATCAAAACTGTCACAATACTAAGGACAAATGCAGCAAGCTAAAAAGAAAAAGTACAATAATTTATAAAAGTATCTTTTGAGAAAAAAAAAGACATTTATCATGGTAATTTGAATTTCAGATGGAAATTTATTACCTTACTTATCCCCAGTGTAAAAACATAGGTACATAGGGCATCGAGTTCACATTCTTGCATGCCATCATCACTTAATGATTTTATTCGGATGAAACAGCTCTAAATTAAAAAAATATTATTTATTTACACAATCATCTACACATTTTTATGTGTATCGTTCTCAACCATAAAGTAAAATTTCCATTACACATTAAGTTCTAGTATTTTCAAAAACCACTGTTTTCTCATGAAAAATGTTTCTTTCATTTTTGTTGTCATACTTCCTACACATCCCAAGAGTCTTGGCTCAAATGAAGTATGCATGCTCCTCCTACCCCAGCCAAAGTGTGGCGGAGGTCCTTAAACATTTCCATTTCACTTTTGAAAGGACAATTATACCGTGAACAAGCATTACAGTAGCTAAAGTATATAACCTATGGAGTTATATACCAGTAACCGTTTAAAATGTATAAATAAACATTCCATTAAAATATACTAATGGATAACTTTATTTCATCTTTGAACCTTCCAGGGTTAGGGGCTTTACCAATGTCTGTGATTGGAAACTTTGTGCTTTGATTTGTGATTACTGTGAACTTTGATTGGCACATTTGATGATTAAGTGATTTTACAAGTCGTGTCCTTTGACTTTGACGGCAATTGTTGTGCTGCACTTATATCAAAGGTATCAAAGGTTCTGCTGTTATCCTTGCTTCTATCTCTATTTATACTATAGTAAGTGCTTTATATCAAGTATGCAATTTTTAAAGGCTTCATGATCCTATCGATGACAATGCTTATGTAATAAAAGAATGAACATTTTATCAAGCGATTTGTGATGTTTTCTTTCACCGCGTTTGGATGGGATAGGAATTGTAACAAATCATGGCTTATCGGGGACTGAAGATGTGCAAGAAAGAAAGTTTAATGTAGCAATATGTATAAACATGTATAATCGACACATGTGGACCGATATTAAGTAATCTGAATCGAAAAGAACATAAGTTAAAATACAAGAACAATGGATTGATTAAAGTGTAAACATTTTCAGAAATAATATCTAAAAAAAAATTCCAACTTTCATTCTTCGAATTATTAGAAAATTTGAATGCATCTATAAGAGATGTACTTTTGATATAAGCAATATGATCAATCTCCAAAAAATATTTTAACGAAGAAACAGAATGTAATGTTTCTATAGGTAGTTTGAAAGAAAGTTTTCTAATGATTTAATTTGATGATCTCATGAATTGCGGTATCAGAGATAAAGAAGATGAGGGTAGGGGCTTAAAAAAAAACTATTTGAATGCTAACGGTTTCGATGTTTCAAGTGAACATAGTTCTTTAATTGAGGCGATATTTTACCAGTATACAAGAAATTTTCAGTTATATATTTGATTACGATGACAATATTGGTGACCCAATGCGACCAGGAAAATTGCCTCCTCAATTCATTATTGATTCATCTGGGGTTAAGAAAGGGTATCATGTATCAACTTTACAGTCTTTTTTCTCAAAGAGAAAACATTTAAGGCTTTTTTTATCATTTCAATAAAAGGAATATTTTATCTTGAAATTATGAAAAAAAAATGTGGAAGTACATTTTTAACCTGTTTATTTACCCTCATAACACTGCATAAGAGTGAAAAAAGAACATGTATGTCGACATTGAGTAATACTCAATTATAAACACAGGACAAAGGTCACAGTTAAGATCACGAGGTCAATAATCGGACATTTTGTAGAAATGTTTGTTTAACTAATTTATGTGCGAAAATAATTTCAAAGATTGAGACATGATAAAGGGGCTACATTAAAAATAAAATTAATATCAATATAAAGATTACATAGAGAATATCTTATTAAAACAGTACAATGTTTATTAACTCTATGTAATAGAGAGAGGACAAAAAAATCTCCTTTAGATCACAAAGATGTTCTATTTACCTCCTTATAAGTTCCGGCAGTGACGGTGGCATGACAACTATCAGGTGCATTCATGTAGTCATCTTCAGTGACATCTCTACAACAGGTTTTTGGAATCTGTGAATTCGTCTGTTGACAAGATCCGGATGTTGTACACCAGGGGGTCGTATCAAAGTCATTTGTTGTGCTCGTTACTTGCTTTACAGCACAACAGTCGTACTAGAATTAATTTCATACAGACAATGCAAGTCGTTGATTAAAAATGAATGGATTTAAAATGTTAAGGATCACCAAGAGTCATTTTTTAAAATATATATTTGAATGATTTTTTTTTAAAAAGTGGATAAGATTGACCATGTTGATTACCTGATTGTACAAAAAAAAATCACTTGCCTACATGTATCTGCTTTCCACGCCAATACTTACCTTTGATTATTCTCGATCAAAATCAACATTGTTCTTATTATAATGAGAACAAAGAGATACTAATTTCTAAGATACGTCTTTTTTAAAACATTTAATGATCCTTCAAACCTTTGTCTTTCACAAGATGACATACTCCTCCTTTGCAGTGTTTTACCTTAATAAAGAAGGAGTTCCAACTGTTTGATATAACATCACTGCTGTTGAGAATATCAGATCTGTAATTTTGTTGAAGCGATTCTAACATATCCTTCCTTAATTTATGATAATCCTGAAAGTAAAAAGAAAACGACAGAAGCATGATGACAAACCGTACGTGTATGTATTTTTGATCGATTGTAAGCTGGGCTTAAATTGAATTTCGATACATGTATAGAAATGTTATCATGGATGTACCGTAGTTTTTTGAACTGCTTTGATTCTTGAAATAACGAGGTACTCGTTCAAAAGTAGACCACAGAACACAACAGCTACAACAGCAAACTATAAATAAATCAAAAAAAATATAAAAAGAAAATAAAAGGATACAGAATGTTAGACCACGGTATATTATAAAGATTTAGATATTGATTTTACAAGACATACGTATAATATTATTATAACTTAAAAACACTCTTACAAGAGAATACAATGTCATTAATCCCTTTCTTCTGAGTACTGGAAGTGTCAAGCAAAATATCAAACAACCACTCAAAAAGAAGGAGTCCAAAGCTAAAGATGATATTCCAATTCGCAAAATACTTTCCAATTTCCTTTTATCTTCCTCGTATTGGCACGAATAATTGACATCAAGCATCTTCAATGCTTCCCCTCTTTCACAAGGTTTGCTTCTCTTAATCAAATCACTCCAGGAAACCAAAAAAGCAGCAATAACCTAAAAAAAAAAAAGAAGACACAATAATTTTTTTATAACAGGAAATGAAGTCGATTTATTTCATTGATTTATTGATTGTATGTTGTTTTACGTCCCGTTAGAGAATTTTTCACTCATATAGAGATTTCATCATATACCGGCGAAGAGCTTCAAATTTAGACCCTTACTCGGCACTCAGGGCCATTGAGCAGTGAGGGTTCTTTATTGTGCCAACGCCTACCGTGACACGGGGCCTCGCTTTTCAAGGTCTCATCGAAAGGACCCGCAACTTTCACTTCAAAGTGCCGAGCGCTTGGCGAAGGAACCGTTGCTACCTATTTTTATCGACTTAGGCCAGTCGCGGCCGTGATTCAAACACGAGACCTTCCGATCATGGAGCGAGCGCTCTACATACTGATCTACCGAGACGGCACTTATTTCATTGTAACTGACGTTATTCATTAGTATTAGGGTTCTTTTTTTTAATTGTAATTTAAATGAATGTAGATTTTACATAATTCGCATATGGCTCTGTATAAAATGTAAATTTTCATAGCAAACTTGAGTGGAGTGAAATAATATTTTTTCAGAACTACTAATACGGTGAAATAGCTACCGGATATAACAAAGGGAGGCTTGCTCAAATATAAGATGGATTTGCTTTGAACCTCTAAATCATTGATCTACGAAGATTCTCGTACAAAAGAGATTTTTAAGCAAACAAAAATGAAGAAAGTTGTATTCCATGTATATAAAATTAAAATTATTTATCAATGAAAAAAAAATAAATAAAAGAGTTGCAATAAAAAAAAACTTTTGCAAAAAATCTTCCAGAATCATGTTTTATTTTAAAACTGCAATTACAGCTTTTAAAAAAATATAAATTAGATATTTACACTGTAAAAAATGTGTTTAGATGATAGACACATTTCTAAGCACATTCTTGTCACACTTTTTTTAATGCGTTTAAATTTTATACATGTTGAATTTCAATACGCGTAATGGAAAGTGTTTTAAACCTAAATACATACATGTTTAGAGTTTAAACAATTCTAAACACTTAGATTCGCGTTTAGAAGCTAAACACTTCAATGTATTAAACAAGGATCTGCAAAAAAACCAAAAATATAACAGGTGTGTCCGTTTTAAGTTTTATTTACTTTTAAACATCATATTAAAATGATAAAAAAAAAAAGGCCTAACACACAGTAAAGTGTTCTCACGCAGTCACGGAATCATTGTTCTGTGGAATTCCTTTTACTTGTGAATGGTTTCCATTGTTTGTTACAAAGTCTTTTAGAAAATTTGACATATAAAACTAACTGGCATCTAAAGAGTTAGTAACATCCAAGTTGTTGAATTGTCTGCATTTTGTACCAGTAGCACAATACAAAGTAAATATACATGTACATGTAAAAGACTCCAGCTATGGTGTGCTTCTTGCAGTGTGATGCAATACGGATCACTATTTCAAATCCGTCGTGTTGTAAACAAAGCAGCAGAGTATCTGGATAATCTTGAAGGTATTTTCTACGGCAGTATAACTCACATCCATTATCAGAAATGAATTTTGTTCTTTCTCTCGGCTATCCAAATAAGTTAACCTGTAAGAAAGGACGTACGTTGCATTTAAGTAAAAGTATGTCCTCACTGAACATGCTGAAGTTTTACATTAATTACTAAGCATATAATAAAAATGTTTAAATAAATATTATTGCAACTATAGATGCAATATTTACTCTCATTATTCATGTTAATGAATACATGATATAACACCGAAAGACATCCTTGATATAAAATGCAACGTTATTTACTTTGCTCATCATGTTTATTTAATATAAAAACAAAAGTATACATACCCTGCAACAATAACAATTAGCCTTTCACATGTTTTTCACTATTTCTGCGGTGGTTGGCACTCAAGTTCTCATTAGCTTTCTTGAAAACATCGTTTACTGTTTTGTTGTTATTTTCTTTGTTTCGACAACCGCGCTTATTAACGTTCAAATATGTATCATTTCCGGGAAGATAACTCTGCACTTTACCGAATTTAAAACAAAAACATGTTCAATATCTAAACGCGTATAGATATGAAATACATTTAGACATAAGTGTTTTGTTGTTAAACACAATATCAAACACGTTTAGATCTAAACACGTAATAGAAGTGTTTATTTCCTAAGCACATTTTTTACAGTGTACCATCTGTATTCCTTGTACAATCATTAAAGCGGCATTTGCTATCATGTCAACCTTTATAAAAAGTAAACTTAGTTAAAGCATGCTACCCCTTTCAGAATATATTTTACGTTTGTATTAAGGGAAAGTAAATAAAGTCATATTATCATATTAAACATTGAAGTGATAAGACTTACATCTCCTTGCTCTAGTATGATTTTCTTTAGCTCATCAATTTTTGTATTCTGTTCTTTAATCACTTTCATTAGATCTTCACGAAACCTATTCAGCTCTTCAATGATTTTATTCCGTTCTTCAATTACTTTATCCAGATTTTCAAGCAATCTCTTCTGCTTTTCGATAATTTCATTTTGTTCTTGCTCTTTAATATTTTCCCCTTGTACTGCAATGTATATTTTGATCTCTTCAATGGATTCCTTTTGCTTTTGGATGCTTTCCTCTAGCTCTTTAACACATCTTTTCTGCTCTCCTATAATTTTCTCATGCTTCTCGATGACTTTCTTTTCTTCCTCAATGCGTTTCTCTTCCTTGTTTCTGATCTCCATCTCATTCTCGCCATCACCAGACTTCGTGCTTTTCTTTTTAGTGTCGATTTCTTTTTCTTTTGTGCTTTCCTTTTCATTTTCTATGATATTCCACCGAGGTTCCATTAATGTCTTCTGTTCCTTAATATTTTCCTCATGTTGTTTAATACTTTGCTGTAGCTGTTCAGTTATTTCCTCTTGTTGTGAAATGTTTCTTTCTTGGTCTTTTATGATTTTCTCTAGGTCTTTTATACTTTTCTTTTGCTCTGTAATGCTTTTTTCTTGGTCTTCAATGCTTTTTCTCGATTCTATATTACATTTCCCTTCTTCAGCAATGTTTTCCTTAACATTTTTGCTGTCTGCAGTGTTTTCGTAAATATCCTAATATTAAGTAAATTTAATATTCCTCATTTTAAAAAAAGCTTGGTATCATCGAATTTCCCGTAATCATTTTCAATTGTTTTATTTTTTCATCTTAGTGTATCATGTATAATTTTCAATCACATAATTTCTTGTAATCTAACAATATTTATGAAAACTTGAAAACAAAATGTTTTATGATAAGGCAAAACGTTACAAAATACATTGTAATTTTGAAATTTTGAAATCATTTCAACTATGCTAATATATCCTTATTTATCTAATTTTTATTAGCTTTAATTCCCGGGTACGGACCGCAATCGTTTAGATGCTTCAACAAATGTGATGCACTTAAAAATATTTCATCTGATTCTTTATGCAAGTTTATGCTATCACCAAAGGAATTATTCATGGAGAGAGGTGTTCTGTACGTATTTATCAAGTTTTGATTTTGCGATTAATTTGTGTGGTATTTAAGTGTTACAATCCTTCAGTCATTACAGATGTTCCCTAAACAGTCCCACCCCTTCCGTTCCATAACAGCTTCATTTATTTAGGTAAAACTTTTATATAATAGATCTACAACTTATTTTCCAAAGTATTTGATAGGAATACAACGCCGATGTAGCCGTTTGAGTATTTGCCAGTCAGATTTCAAATATATTTTTTAAAGTGTTTCACATGACATAAAATTAATAATACACACGGTGTCTCCTTTATCTGAGCTATTCCTTTGATCTTTTGGTGGTTCCGATATGCCTTCCATTCCTTCTGCGATATTCTGAAATCTAAAGTTTGTAAAATTGCTTTAAAAACAGAGAGTAAGACCAACATCAATATAACAATTTTAATAAAATGGGAAATTTATTAACAACTTGGCTAAATGCCTTTTTGAACTTCAAAAAGTTAACATTCAAATCTCGGTTGACGTATGTAAATTAAATTGCACAACTAGTTCACATGAAATTATTTGAACCTAATAGAATTTGCCATGCAAAGTCGTTGGTTTCTGTTCCAAATTAGTAAGTTAGGAGAACTTAATTAAAATTTTAGCTGAAAATGAAATTAAAGCTTGAATTTTTTTTAAAGTAATTTTGATAATAATACATGTTGTAGGAAAATTCACCTCCCAATGAGATGAAAGACTTCATCTGAGAGTATTGTGTTCAAAAGAAAGATGTTTCCTCAGAAAAAAAAACTTACGCCCTTATATAAATAAATGTACATGTATTGCATTTAATTTTAAAACATATGTAAGGTTTTATACATTGAAATTCAAAGGAATTAGTTACCAGAAAAAGGCACCTACAGATAAATCTGAAAATATAAGAAGGTAAAGCGATTAAAAAACAAATTCGATGACCTCAGTTTTACCATCGCCAACTTTCCTTATTTTGTAATATCCCACTTTCACCTGCATATGTTTACATCTCACAACTTATTCGATATTTACGAGCATGCTCTGAGTACGATCAATTTTTAAACCTGGACAGGCTTCTAACAGATAAGTTGATGTAACATGGATTTCAACAATCTCCATTAAAGTCAGCATTTCGTAAACTCTATGGTCGTTATAATGACCTTGTTATCATATATTACCTGTCATTAGGTCGTATGTTGGCTGACATGTTCTAAACCATTTGTTAGACTTTTTTTCTTTTTTTAACTGAAATTGACTACAGAATGTTTGGTCTACCTGATCTATACATAGGGATCACGTGTGGGTGAGACCGGGATGCTTACTTCTCCTAGGCATCTGATTTCACCTCTGGAATTCCCAGTGGTCGGTGTTTTATGCCCTTTTCAGATATTTGTACTGTTTATAGATTTTTGAGATTGACCACTGTTCGTTATCTTCACCTTTCTCATTATAAAACTATACATAAATAAAATACATCAAATTCGAATCACTTGAAATTTATGCCCTATGCCTTATCTTTAATATCACTTGCAATCTGTAATAATAATTGTGTATTTTAAATCATATGATAATTCATAAAAAGAATACAAATTTGAGAATAATGTTTAAAAATACCATCAAGGAATTAGCAACACAAGCATTCACTATGTAACATTTAATCTCACTTGACAAAAATGTACCTTTAAAATAAATCCATTAAGTTGAAAATTGAGAGACTCATGATTCAAAATCTTGATTCCTGATTCATATTGTTCCTGCTGTTCTTCATCAGAAAACTATTATGCTTCCTGTCAGTTTGTCTCTATATAATCAATACCCAACTATTTTCGCATAGTGTTCTAAGGATTTATATAGCGTAAGCATACTATGCCGAAATAGTGCACGGCTGTCTTTTCTAGAGAAAATGTAATTAGCACCCACGCTGGGGATCGAACTCACGATCTGGAGAACGTCAGTCCAACGCGTTACCGATTACGCCACAAACACCGCTACTTTACGGAATGTATTTTCAAGTATATAAACGTAGTTTTTATACATTTGTCACAAAACAAGAAATAAATGAATATAATTTCTAAAAGACTGATATTATTGATAAGGATCTTAAAGATAAATTCTCTAACAAATAATCGAATTTATCAGTAACCAAAATTGCAACGTAACATGAACTGGTTCTTCGGAGTCAATAAAACGCTTTTTGATATAACGCTTGATTAAAGAATGTTCAAGAAAATTTTCATTTAGATTTAACGTCTGCAAACAGGTTTGGGATTGAGAATTTAATTAAATTGTCGTATACAAACAACAGTCAGCATAATAATTATAATAGTGTTATTATTTGGATGTACTATGCCGAAATAGTAGTCAGGGTTTGACACATAGTGCACTCGCCTCCGGCTCGTGCACCATGTGTCAAACCCTGAATACTATTTCGGCATAGTACATCCAAATAATAACACTATTATATAAATGTTTTGTTCTTTTATGCAATGAAAAAAGACCCTATATTGTGACCCCATCATTACCTGAGCGGCTTGTGACTTAACCATACTTGAATCTATACAACATTGATAAGTTTCAATGTCAACATGATTAGTATGATTAGGGGGAAGGTTTTCCTATACCATATATACTTCCTTCATAAAAAATGATCATCGATTTTACTGAACACTACTTAGAGTTCATAGTTGGGGCAAAGCTAAATTGCGAATTCGAATATTATTTTGGTTTACTAAATCCCCGATACTTTAAATAGGTTTCTTTTTTCAATATAAAACTCTTATCATTTGGTCTAAACGCATCCAAGGGACCACATAATCTCCACTTGGGGGATGGGGGATGGGGGTGTTTTGCTTCATAAGAATTATGAGTATTCCGTAGCGTTTATTTTAAATTCCCTACATCTCACCATGTACAAACTTACCTATTGTGACCCTTCCTGTCCACTGGTGGCCATGATTTGAACAAATTTTAACTTACACTAACTGAGATTCCTTCGGTTATATTATATGTTCACTTTTGCTAATTTTTTTTTACTATGAAATTGAATTGAATGGCATCTTCATGAATATGCATCGTATATATGCGCTTAATTAGGCTATGAGACTCTAATAAAATAGTACAATATAGAGTAGCGAAAAATTCAAACCTTGAGTATATCTTTGATGCTGTAAAACATGTTAAATGAAAAAATTAGAAATAAATGTGTTTATAGTTTTGTGTGAATTATTGGTGTGTAAATCATTCAGACTTTCATGTAGGCATACTTTTATGACATGCAAGTGCGTTTTGCAAATTATACCTACCTGACAAGTCTTTGATTTACACACCAACTAATCACATAAAACCAGGAAAAAAATCACTAAATTAAAAAAAAAAGGTTAAGATAACGCACAGTGATCTTAAATCCTTAAACAATATTAATCGTGAACAGGACAAATACAGGAACACCTGGAAAAACAGAGAGAAGATTAGGTCCTTAGGAGGATTTAACATCTCCTTTCGACCAGTCACACTAGCAGTAAACCCTCTGTAATGATCAATTAAACAGAATAATTCGTAAGAAAATTAGTGTAAATGCTATGATCTAAGAATTCGTATTGAATATTTCAGTTAAAATTACTTTCTGTCCTTTGTATATCACTCAGTGAAAAATATGGTTAAGACTTGATTGTTGGAGCAGTTATGTAGATTTCCAAGAAAGAGTTAAGGCCCTTACAGACATATTCAATTATAATATTTAACATAAATAGTTTTGGTATAAAACAAACCAAACCTTAATTAAAATTAAAGATTGTAAATTTTCAATCACAGATATTTTTGACAATTCTTTTTTGGACCCCATGAGTTCCATTTTCAAATGTTCTATTAAAAATGCGAAACCTGTGAAATTTTGATCACAGACACTTTGTTTAAGGGTCCTCCACACCCCGTGACTTGTGACGTATATGGAGAAAAAATACTTTTACTTCCGGTTTTATATAGTTTGTGCACTGACGATTTGACTGGCACCGCCTGTAAGAGAGTCTTATAAACGCTTTTGATATAAAGGTTTTGTCAAGGAAGAGTATGTAGTCAACCGAGAGCGACACCCTGATCACAATGAACACATTGAATGATCACGGCGTGACCGAAAGAAGAAAAAATGTCGATTTTTTCCAATAAAAAACAGCAGACGTTTGAGTTTTTGTAGCATAATGATTCGTAAATAACAGGTATATCTACTCGAAAACGTTTAAGTTTACTTATACTTTCAGGCTAATAAATCCATTGCGATATCGTCAACAAGGTCTGTAACAGACTGTTTTGAAAAGTTGATATTATTGCACACTGATTTGTGCGTTTCAATAATGCCTATCTTATTGTGTGTTTATAAATATTGATAAAGTGTGCATTTTATATCTGTCCTGTTCAGTTGTGAATAACGATTACTGGAAAAACACCTACATAACCTTATACATGGGCGCAGACATTTTGGACACCCAAAGTTGTGCGGAGAAGAAAATGCTACACGGCACATGATTGGTCATTAAGAGAAAAGACTTGTTATGTATTTGACAAGTGAAATAAAGGTGGTAAAAATCTCATATCAAGACTTAGGCTTCTTTGAGATATATAGGAGTTACAGGTAAAAATTTGAAGGGAGGGGTGCACTTTGGTTAGAGATTTTCATTTGGTGCTGAACGCACCTAGTTGTAAACAAATGGAATTTGAAAGTAAAAGTGCAACGGCACGGTATATTTTTTCTGGCATGTTTTGTTTTGCAAGATCTCGAACTTCCACGGCAAGAAAGTCATTTGCCCAAAATTGAATATATGAATCAGTGACAGGAGCTCAGCTTTGTATGGAAGTCTATGGGAAAACATTTGGTGGTGTTTGTCCTATAGAGTAGGTATTTATTGCATAGGTTAACATTGATTACAGCCAGAAAATCAATCAATTCCTATATTTTTGGCATTGGGATTATACTTTGGTTAATATTTACTACCTGTGTAGAAATTAGAGGGTTTGGGTAAACTGAGGCCCCCAATGGGGACTCCACATGGTGCAAAACTGCCAAAATTTTGCCCCCTAGCTATCACATTTGCAATGAATGTACATGTAAATAATTTTTAATGAATATTTATGCTGAAATTTACTGGGAATGTTGTAAATAATACAATATTGATATTTATTGGCATCATTAATACACAAAATAGATGAATATCCCCCTCGCAGCTTGAGAAATTCATTTAAATCCATGTGTTTTATGAGTGTAGACATTTGCATAGATTGACTAAACATCTTTCAAATTTGTGTTAATCAGAGTTAATGGAATAATTCTTAACAATATTTGACTGTTTTGTTAACTAAATAGGTTACTTTGTTTTGACATGAGGGGCCTAATCCAGCTGCAAAGCAGATTTCAGTCATCTCATTAGTGCTGGTTTAAAATAAAAGTTGTGCTTTTGGTGTAACTGAGAGGTTACTAGTAGGATATTTTATTAAAATTGCTGTACAATATATTGCAAAAGAAAATACATTGAAAATGCAACAAATGTGCAAAATTATAGGTGAAAAAATTGGTGAAATGTGTTTCTAAATATCCCTCCCCCTTGTCAGATCCCATCTTGATATGCTGTAGAAAAGGGGGGGGGTATATTTGTGCTCTTATGATACTAAAAAATGAAGGAAAAGAATTTTAATGTAGTATATTTGAATAACAAGACTAATTCTTATCTGCAGTAATTTTATTTAAAATTTCTTAAGCATTTTTTTTAATAATTATCTGAGTAAATTCTATTAAAACATTATTTTTTTAAGCTATTACATAACAAATGCTTATAAAAAATTCAAAAGATGGTGTAAATAATAATTGATTATAATATAAACTACTACATGCATGTATCAGTATGTTTTAATAAAATAAAATGTGTTTCAGCTATGCATCATCAAGAAGGAGAAGTTTAATGAACCCTCCCCTCTTACAATGAACAACATATGGACACTCCCAGGATGAACACTTTGCATTCATTAAGAGTTCCCAGGTATGGTTTTCTTAGCAAATCTAGTTAATCTCTTAATATTTAAGTTATTTAGAACTTTTTAAAGATTATTAGAATATAAACTTCCTCAGAACTGCAGTTATTTAAGTATTTTGCTTACAATGGAGCCCTGTATTCAGACAGACAACATGATTTATCTGCCCTTGGCAGTTAATCAATTTAATAATTATGTCAATAATTAGAAATGATATGCAAATAAATATATTTGCCTTTCATGAGAATATACATATTTAACATTTATTACATGGAATTTCCTATAACAATGGCTAAAATGTAGGCCACCCCCTTCAGAATTACAAAATTTTCAGTGAGGGTGTATTTGATTCTCTGATGCCAGCAACCCATTCCTGATATAATTCTTTTTAAATCTGATGTTCTTTTAAATCAAACATAATTCTCTTTCTTTTCATTGATTATTTAACCTACATTAGCTTTTCCTCTATCCATAACTGAGCATTTTCTTACAAAAACCTGCTGATTTTTTTCATTTTTCATTTATACCGGGTACCTGATACCCTTATTGATTAACATGATCTATTTTTGGAGATTATGAGAGATAATAAGAAAAACAAGCAAAACATATGCTAGATTAATCATTTTATTTCAAAATTTTGGAAGAAAAGTGGAAAAATGCTTCAATTTATAGACATTTTTTCTATTTCACAGGTATAGGTCTGATTGACTGGGGTGTGAAATGTAATAGCCAGTGGTGTACTTCAGCTAGGACTGTCAGTCCCTATATTCATGAGGTGAGATAACCAATGGATATGTGTTCTAAATGTACTAAATTGACCACTTTTTACAAGTGTTTTCTATATCTCTATAGGAAAAACACCTACATAACCTTATACATGGGCGCAGACATTTTGGACACCCAAAGTTGTGCGGAGAAGAAAATGCTACACGGCACATGATTGGTCATTAAGAGAAAAGACTTGTTATGTATTTGACAAGTGAAATAAAGGTGGTAAAAATCTCATATCAAGACTTAGGCTTCTTTGAGATATATAGGAGTTACAGGTAAAAATTTGAAGGGAGGGGTGCACTTTGGTTAGAGATTTTCATTTGGTGCTGAACGCACCTAGTTGTAAACAAATGGAATTTGAAAGTAAAAGTGCAACGGCACGGTATATTTTTTCTGGCATGTTTTGTTTTGCAAGATCTCGAACTTCCACGGCAAGAAAGTCATTTGCCCAAAATTGAATATATGAATCAGTGACAGGAGCTCAGCTTTGTATGGAAGTCTATGGGAAAACATTTGGTGGTGTTTGTCCTACTGAGTACATGTATGATGACGAATGCGGAGACTTGCCAAAGTTTTTGAGTCCTGGGTAACAGGAAAGATAACTCTAAAACGGAACTTTGATACCACAGATTTTGAAAATATTTTTTCTAAATCAATTAATTTGATTTTAATTCAATTTTTTGTTGTAATTTATTTCATTAATGTTTTTTCTATGCTATCAGGAGTCTTCCATAATTTTTTTCTCAATGTATTTTAGAGTAAATGAGTTATATTTATTTTTTATAACTTTTATTAATTTTTTTAAAAAATATGTTCACTGATAAAATCAAGTTTTTGTAGTTGTTTTCTGGGCTTAATAATATATTCCAGGAAAACACAAAATTTGTTGTGCTACTTATCAAAACTTCGTGGGGAAAAAATCTTAAAACTTATGAAATTATTTTTTTAAAAATCAGTATAAATTATATTTCAATTCTAGGCCAGTTTTTAAAGGTTGATATGCTTGTTAAAAGTAATGCTCAGAAATATGAGGATATAAGTTGGGTGTGTGGAGGACCCTTAATAGCAGTCTTACGGGACAATTTTTTTTTTACTAAAATTGGTAAAAATTCGACTTCTAAAGCTTCTACCATCGTCTATGGCATTGCATGTACTCTCTACGGATTGATTTATTTTGGGGAAACAAAAGTTTCACTCAATAAGAGTACGTTGGGGCATAAATTTTTGACCCATAGTATAATAATAACGCAAGGTATCCAACTCCGAATTACATGGAGTACCCCCCTTCCCCAGAATCGCACTCATTTACACTTTCAGAGGAAACGCACTGGCAAACTGTTTATACCTATGTCTTCTACGATAATTTATCTACACAACCATATATAACATGTTTGTCTTTATTTTCTTTTATCTCTGTAAACAGCGTCAAATCTCTGCTCGCCGAGTGGAAAAGTCGATTTAACCAATGAAATGGTATGTGCTAATCCTGGACAGAGAAAAAAGTTAAAAAATGAGTGGTTTTAATAATTCAATTCCAGTGTTTAAATATTGCAGTGAATAAAAAGAATTTGTTTCCCTGAAAACATTACGATGTTTATCCGATGTAATTTTAGAAGCAGATTTTTAGCCAATCAAAATCTCTTCCCGGGATTAGCACATACCAAAAACAAGTTATTATTACCGAAACAAGTGCTATTATATTATACTATAGGTCAAAAATTTATTACCGAAACAAGTGCCTGTGTTTCTAACATAAAACCCAATTCACATAGTTTTCAACAGGACCTCCCTTTCAAAAGTAAATATGATGAATGTTGAGTGAAATTTAATTATAACGTACTATTATTTATAAACTGTAAATAAATGGTATGTCTTATAATTGTTGATTCATATAAATATTTACATAAAGTTTCATATACAATAATTATCGATGTTAGACAACAAAAAATCTTGACCCCCTCCCCTAAAAACACGTATTTGAATTTAGTTTTTTTTCCTATCAGACATGTATCTTGCCCTAAAAGCAGAATCATGTTATTTTTTTTATTTTATTTATTATGTACTATCGCTTCCATTTGTGTGTGTGTTTTTTTTTTGGTCGGGGGGGGGGGGGGCTATCGTAGCGGAACAGCGTAACACATGCATTTTAATTTCGAAACGCATACATGAGAATGTACTGCATAAGAAACAGTGCGTATGTTATTCTTTGTTATGTTGTTGAACAGTTAGAGGTATTTATATCAGTAAATGATTGTTTCTCGTCTCCAATATGTGTTTCATGTGTTTATAAAAATATCATCATTTAAAATCGCACAAAGAAAAGATGCACATTCAGAAGAGTAGTACCCGGGAAAGGGGCAGGGTCAAATTATGTTTGGAGACCTTCCTCTACTTTTTTATTAGATTAAATAAACTTTTTCATCGCTGCTCTTCTCCTCCTACTCCTCGATTCCGTCAAAATTACCACCTTGCCACATTTTATTTTATTAATTGAAGCTAAACCAGCTAATCTACCAGTCTTTAGTGAAGGGCCTTTTCTAACAAAATAATTGTCCCAATTTCACGTTTATTGTAGTATTAAAATAGGTAGTATATAATATAGATTGACAAATAAAGTATGTCCTGGACTATTCATATTTCAAAAGCTTTATTCTTTCTGTTTAATTGTCACCCCCTTAAGTAACATTTTTACATCATTTCCGCAGGAATTCCCCTCTAAACTAATAATCCTTTGAATCTAATTTTTTTTTACCTTAATGATTTAATTTGTTAAAGCTGTCCGATCCATGCTATGTCTGATCACCCTAGATATGATTTAGAAAGCCGGTACGTGTAGGCAAACCATCTAATAGTAAATGAGGGTCCAAAATATGTATTGGAAAGGCATTGCGATCTTATATATCCTATGTGTTTATTTGGATCACCACGGTATTGTACCTCAAAATGCATTCAGATGTAATAGAATTTCGGACACATTTGACATTGGGTCGGACACTTTTCTTTAGATATAAAATGATGCATATACGTATGCGCAGATCTATAAGGGAGAGGAGGGGGTGTTCCGGTGTAAAGACGAATAATGACCCCCATAGAATAATGACCGGGGGTCATTTTTCGACGTCGAATAATGACCTCCGGTCATTATTCAACGGCGAAAATGACCCCCGGTCATTATTCGACGTCGAAAAATGACCCTTTTGCCCGTAGAAAAAGTGTCATCACCCTAAAAACATGCATAACCCACGTGAAGAAAAATGACCCCCGTAGAATAATGACCCCTTGTGTATTAAAGCGGATTAAAGTTAAAACTTTTAGGGGGCAAAATAAAAATAATAAATCAAGATTCTTTTCGGCCAAAATGCTCACTTGAGCTTCATTGGGAATAAATCGATGATATATTGATTTCATTACACTATACAATCATTGCTGTTTTTAAGGTCAATTCAATGATTCAGAATCTAGTGGAGTTAGAGTCCAAAGGGCGAGGAGAGCATTATTTTTCGATGGTGGAAAATCACTGATCGTCCTGACAGAAAAAACAGCAATAATTGTTTTATTATATATGTATGATTCAACGATTAACTTGATACAAACTGATTAAGCAGACATGTCAAGTTTCTTGTTTACATTTGCTTAAGTCCTAACCAAACACAGTGAAAGAATAGGAGTTAACTTAAGCATAACCAGTATTAATTTTGCATTTGAAATCTAGTTTTGGTGCAATGTAGAAAAAATAAATGTCAGGCATAGCATCGAAAGGGGAAATGGCGCATTATAAGAGGCAAAAAATACTTTTAGTTAAAAATATCTTTGATGAACCCCTCAAAAAGTTTATTGATGTAAGTGGGATTTTCTTTTACTCTACTGTATCAAAAAGTTAGGAGCAGGACAAGCAGACATGCAATGACCATTTTCAAGCGAGAAAAAAAAAAATACGTTCATGGAAATGGAAGGGGGTGGACACCCCATCCCTGATTCTATGTGCCTGAATGTTAAGTTCATCTTGTTCACTCAAGTAGGAGAGATTTTTTTAACTATACTTTATGAGAAAGAGGGGGTGGTTACAAAACTTTCAATGAACATTTTCAAATTAGAAATTGATAAAATTTACATTCAGAAAAGGGGGAACAATACCTCCCTCTTCTCCGATTCTTTGTGCTCGAATATTATGTTCACTTGAGTAGAATTCAGATGCAGGTGAAATAACTTTTCAGAATTGTTTTCAATCTATTTTTAGTTCAATGTAGGAAAAATAAATCCTTATACATGTATCCACCTTGAAGGTCAATAAAATAGTCTGTCTTTAAATTCAAAAAACATTAATCTACTTCAATATACACTGTATTAAAAATGTTTCCATATTGATTTGACAAATTTATCACTGTTTTAAAGTGGATTAAGAATATTCCTCTTACATGTATGTATCCTATTCTCAGACGACCATGTTAACAGACTTGAATGTACATTATACTGGGATTCTCCATGTATTACTTCTATATACTTGAAAAGAAATTCCCATAGAGTAGACCACTGTTTATACATAAAATTGAATGCACATTATAAGATTGTATATATTTCAGACATGCAGAAATTTTATGTCCTTCTTATGTTTGTCACGTCTGCTTCATATTTGGACGTTCTACTGACTATAGACGATGAGGACCAACTAACAACTAAATTGTCTGACAAACGGGATGACTTTACCCTTTTCTATTGTCAAATTTCCTTATTTATGAAGTAATATTCTGCAATCATTTGCATATATAATAATGTTTACGTCTATCAACTTATTCGATACCCAAGAGCACGATTAATTTTTAAATCGAGGCAGGCTACTGACAGATACATGTAAGTTGATGTTACAGGGGTTTCAACAACCTCGTTTAAATTCAGCATTTCGTAGTATCAATGACCCTGTCAACAAATATAACCTATAATTGGGTCAATTGTTTGGCCCTTGTTTTTATACTAAATTCGACAACGGAATGCCCCGTTTACCTGATTTATTCATAGCGCTCACGGCGGGTGTGACGGGACAACAGGAGATGCTTACTCTTGCTAGGCACTTGATTCCACCTCTGCAATTTTCGGGGTCCTTTTTATGCCCTTTTAACAAAATTGTACTGCTTGTGGATATTTTAAAATCATCACTGATCGTTATCTTCACCATTTTTTCATTAAGAAATATATATATCCACAGTATGTCGTTTGCACGAGTTATTACGTCATTTTCGATACATTCTACCTCATTTGCACGACTTTTATGTCATTCAAAATATACATATATATTACATTGCATAACTTTCCGTATTTATTTCTGAAACTTAACTCATTCTTTTTTTTTTTCCTTCATTTTTAAAAAAAAAGTTGATCCTACTCAGAGCATGCTGAATACTTTGGGAGACATGTTTACCAA